CCTGGAATTATCCTTGCTGCCCGTCTTTGAAAATTATCCATTAAGTTTTTGTCCTTTTCAAGTCTCGGAGACCACACAGCGTTTCCAAACTCTAGGTTTGGGCACGCGACAGCAACAAACAACTGCTTCGTCGCTTCTGCGTCTAGGAACTCGTAGGAGCGTCTGATCAATCCAAGAAGTTTGTTTGATTTATTAGCTTGCGTTTCATTATGCGTAGAAAATTTCAGCTCCTTGTCGACATAAACTCTCAAATCTTTTTCAACACCAGACTTTTTAATCATTACTCTCCAGTTGCAAGTTGCAACCATGTCTTCTCATACTGTAATCTTGCTTTAATTGCTCTTCCCGATGTGAATTACTTTACACTTGCCAGCATTAAAACGCGACCGCCACGTATCAGCCCAGTAAACTAAACGATGCAGTTGCACTTTATTTGATGCATCTTTCACTGTATTATGAACTTTTGTGTCGCCGGCATCATACATAGAGCATTACTTTGTGGGGTAACTGCCGTACGTTGCCCGCACAGTGAGGAAATTACAAGATCGGAAATGAATCGAAATGGATCGAGTGAAATTATTTGATACGGCAAGGAATACAGAAATGACAACAGTAATAATAGTAATAATGCCCTTGGCAACGTGAGAACCTGTTCGAGAAGTATAATTTATAAGTAACCATGATGAGGCAAATAATAGTAATATAACCATTTACGTATCTAAACAAAGAAACCTATCTTAGAGACCTAAATCTTGTTGTTGTTGTTTATTTGTTTATTGAGGATGTGGGGTTGTCCCCCATGTCCCTCACGGCTCAAATGACCTAAATCTTAACTAACCTGCTGTTGTGGATCGGCTGTGCTATACTGACTAAGGGAAAAATAGAACGTAAAGTAAACTTCCTAACGGTGTTGCCAAGTCAGAGGAAAAAGGATATATTTATTAAAAGTCGTAATTTCTAGGTTCGCTACAGCTTGACCCTAGTTCTGGCAGATCGTTTATAAAAGCAACGAACAAAACAGGCCCAAGAACGCTTCCTTGTGGCACGCCACTGCGCATTGATGCCCAGTCTGGTACGGTTCCGTTAATACTGACACGTTGTCGTCTACCGGGAGCGCAGCCGTGCACCACCAATTTTGTGCACCAATAAGCCCTGAATCGAACGCCTTGGATCTCTCCGGACATCCACCAATCAACCGTGAATAACTCGGCTTTGTCTTCCTCCGGCCTCGCATAGAACCTGCCGTGCACCACCAGACCGCAGATCGAATCTGACTTCCGGGCATCGTTAAATTACGTAATTTTACGTTCACCGCATCTGAGGTTAGGTTTCAGATAGCATAGTTCTGTTCCAAAATTTATCGTCCTTCGACAAGTGGCCGTTCGACCGAGGGCTGGTTCGACACACGGCCTAGATACGGACGGCTTGAAGTGTTAGTAGTATAGTATCTTCGGCATTGAAGAATAGGCCTATTGAAGGCTACGTTCCAGAAGGCAGGAATCATGTTGGTCCATTACATCCAGGGCAGTGGTGGTCTTCGGCAGGCGACCCCGTCTACCTACTAGAAAATCTCTGATCCATTGGGAGCGCAGCCGTGGGTAACAAAATTGACTCGTAAACAGGCCCTGGGCCTAACGCCAACCATTAGCATGCAATATCTACACATAGCCGCAGACCAATGAGCTGTGGGTAACTCCGGCTAACAGTAAATCCGCTTTGCCCAACACAGCCACTGCTTCACAGCGCCGGAGCCCAACTGGCCGGAGCGCAACAGGCCCTACCACAACAGGGGGCGCAGGTTAGGTTAGGTTACGTTACGTTAGGAGAAGCTGTTGCGGTAGGGCCTGCTGCGCTCCGGCCAGTTGTGCTCCGGCCTGTATGAGCTCCGGCCTGTGACTGAACTGCGCTGTTGTGGTAGGCGCTTTGTGTCAAAAGCCGTGAAGATGCCCGGTTGAGTTACGCTCGGGAAGGGAGCGCAGCCGTGGGTAACAAAATTGACTCGTAAACAGGCCATGGGCCTAACGCCAACCATCAGCATGCAATATCTACACATAGCCTCAGATCAATGAGTTGTGGGTAACTCCGGTTAACAGTAAATCCGCTGTGTACAAAACAGCCACTGCTTCACAGCGCCGGAGACCGACTGGCCGGAGCGCAACATGCCCTACCGCAACAGGCGGCGCAGGTTAGGTTAGGTTAGGTTAAGTTACGTTAGGAGTAGCTGTTGCGGTAGGGCCTGCTGCGCTCCGGCCAGTTTGCGCTCCGACCTGTATGCGCTCCGGCCTGTGACTGAATGGCGCTGTTGTGGTGGGCGACCACTGTATCCACTGACCTACTATAAACAAGAATTCAGTGGTTACCTACTCAGAAGAATTTAAACACAATACAGGCTCTCAGGCCCAACGGCCGTCCTCGAGGTCGACCTGTGGCTTTAAGTCTACCCAGTGTAGACACCCCGAAAAGAAGAAGAAGAAGAGATCACTGCTTTCAGTAACTGGCTCGCTTTCGTCCGGCAGGAGAGTCCAATCGTTGAATCGTTCAACGTATAAAAGAGGTTAGTGTTAGTGCTACATAGTGGTGCAGGATCTCCCGGCGGCCGGCAATAAAGCCATTTTGAATGATTGACAGTCTGATGGTGATAGGAGATGGTGAACAGTCTATGAGTCTAGTGATCGATAATCCTATCCCTCGCAACTCGCAAGTTCCCAACATAGGTACCGTACCCATAGTGGCAAACCAGAGATTTTTTATAATTAGTTCATTTTTAACATCCTCATTTACTCAATATTTGAACCAATTTCTTATGTATGATAATGCTGGTATCCATGATACTTTACTGGTCTACTTGGAGGACTCAAAATTGAACTTGAGTGAGAGTCTAAAAAACTCTCTGCTTTGCCACTATGACCGTACCTATTCCATTTTCCATTACCTTTCAAAGTACTGAGTACAAACACCACTGGGCACTTGTCAGTCTTTACCATAGTAGGTAATAGGTATGCTTGCTTCAAACGTTTTAAAATTAAGTATTGTTTCAAGTGTCCCAAATTACCCCAGTCCCACTCCCAGCCTCCCAGGCGGCCAGGCCCAGGGGTACCTACCTAATTTGGAAGGCTGGGTTGCTGGGACCCTTTTTTAGTATCTGGCACTTTACAAAAAGCACCCATATCCATAAGGAATAATGGAATTTTTTCAGAGATGCTATACAAATTAACAAATATCCCTTGCAAAAAACCTTTAAATCAGCTCAAATTAATTTATGAAATTCCTTGGTAAGAAGTTATGAACAAAAACTGTCAAAATTGGCCCTTTTTACCCTGTTTGACATCAATGCTGCAGTGGCCAAGCAGAGAGTTTTTTTAGACTCTCACAGTCTCCCTCAGGTCAGTCAGGTCAAGCATTGAAAACATCTGCCTTTAGGGCCGCAACTAGAGGTTTCCTGCCATTTCTGAAACTGCGAGATTTCCGTCAGATGAATTACCTCCTATCCAAATGTTAACAAAAGTGCGATATCGAGCCGCGAGATTCCAAATGTATTGAAAATTCGTCATGTTGAAGCCGCGAGATTTCAGAAACAAATAGAAAAATTCCAATCCTGAGTCAGGTGCCCGTACCTCAGCCAGTGCTCAGCTGCGCAGCAAAATTGGTTGCAGAAGCAGGAATCAGTCAGACATCAATGCGTAGAGTCCTCAAAGATGACCTCAAAACCTGCCATTACAAGATGCAAATTGCAAACAAGGCATGAATTAACAGGCCGTCAAATGTCAATGTCATGAATGAATGAGTCTTGAAAGATGCCAGCACATTCAGCTGATTCAGGATCTCATTTAGGAATAGGATGGCACACTGCAGCCCAACTTGGTGTTAAGTGATAAGAAAAAATTTGACATTGAACACAGCATTAACAGTCAAAATGACAGAGTTTGGAGTCAGGATGGATCTGTGCCAATTGGCAACTAGAACAGCAACACAACGTCAAAATCCTATGTCTGTGATAGTTTGGGCCGTGGTAACCACCACTGGGAGGTCTCCACTAGTTTTTATCCCCTCAGGAGTGAAATTGAACCATCAGCGATACATTTTGGACATTTTGGAAGCTGTGTTGTTACCTTGGGCTTGTAAACACCTCAAAAATTCACCATGGAGTTTTCAACAAGACTCTGCCCGATCACATGGCTCAAACATGAACCAAAACTGGATTCATGGTCACATCCCAGAGTTCATTAGCAAAAAAGAATGGTCCTCAAGAAGCCTTGATTTGAATCCTCTCTACATTTCTGTGTGGGCTATTTTAGAGAGAAGGGCCTGCAGAACATCTCATGATTCTTTGGATAGTTTGAAGTCTAAATTGACAAAAGTCAAGAATGGGACTTGATCCCTCAAGAAATGCTGTGTGTCTCCTGTGAAGCTGTCCGTCATAGATTGGACCATTGGAGGCCGTCATTAAAAATGATGGCTTCCAATGTAATCCAATCCAAAAGGGTGGTCATACTGAATAAATATGTCTGAGAACTGATTAGGTAATTCTTGGCTACTAGCTCATCCAATAAAAAATAATGCATCTGTGTGTTTCATTGAGAAATAACAAAAAACATGCATTGCCATAAATATGGCAGACCCTGTATTTATTATAATAATGTTAGTGTCTGGGCCCATAGTGGCAAAGCATTAAGCAGAGAGTTTTTTAGACTCTCACTCAAGTTCATTTTTGAGTCCTATAAGTAGACCAGTAAAGTATCCTGGATACCAGCATTATCATACTTAAGAAATTGGTTTAAATCTAGAGTAAATGAGGAAATTAAAAATTAAAAAAAATAATAAGTGAAAATCAATTGCACATTTTAAATTTAATATGATCTGTGCACATGTTTCTCAAATTCCACCTTGCAGGCTCTGGGCTCTGTGCTCCAATCATGGTACTCAGAAATGTAACCACTGGGCAGTCTGGGAAAGTGATATAAAAGAGAACTCTTATGATTTTTTAATTGTTCATTTTTTTCAGACAAATAAAAAACCAAGACACAAGATTTAAGGTACTATGCCAATAATATGTGACATTGGAGCCACAATATTTTTGTAAGAATTAAGAATATTCTTGTACCTGAGAGCAATTCAGAAGGATTATTGTGATTGGCTAAAAATTCTGATATTATTTACATCATTATCCATATTATTTTCTACTTTATTAATATTTATTCAATGTTATTCAAATGTAAGTATTGAAGTAAAAGTTGATGAGCAGGTTTGTTTTGACACTGAAATTTATATACCTACCTATTATGAAAAATGATCAAATCTTATTTAGAAAGCAAGAAAAAGTCATATCCCTCTCCATGTGGACCATCTCAGCTCTTGATTGTTGCCTATTTCCTTATGATAACATGAATTGTTACTTATTGTCAGATTTATATCAATATAAGTAAGTACCATATGATCAAATTTTACTTTTCTGTGCAGATGTGGACTGAAGTAGAACTACCCACATCATGGGGAGTCATGCGAGGGAAAAGATGGGGCAGTGGCCCACAGAAACTGCTGGGTGTTCATGGCTGGCTGGATAATGCAAATACATTTGACCGTATACTTCCTCTGCTGACATGTGATTGCACCTTTGTTTCCTTGGACTTACCTGGCCATGGGAAATCAGATCATTTTAGTCAAGGCTTTATTTATGATCCAAGGGGCTATGTTGGAGCTATTAAGAAGAGTGTTGAGGCATTAGGATGGAACAAATTCCATTTTGTGGGCCATAGTATGGGTGCTGTTGTTGGCATTATCTATTGCTCTGTCTTCAAAGAAGATGTTGAATCTTTTGTATCAATAGACATCATAAAACCATGGTCCTTCAAACCTCAAGATTATGCACCCAAGTTACTCCAGTATTTTCAATCATATTTTGACAATGAAAAAAAGAGCACCCTGCCACCCCTTGTGTACCAAAAAGAAGAACTGATCTCCAAAACAATTTCTGGCAGTGGAAATTCTTTGGATGCTTCTGCTGCTTCACTTTTGCTTGAAAGAGGCGCTGTGCCCAGTAAAGATGGCTCAGGCTTTCTACTCACCAGAGATCTAAGAGCCAAAACCTACTTCATTGGCTTCTTCTCCTTTGAGGCTTGGTTAGCTATGGCAGAATCCATAACTTGCCCCATTCTCATTATCAAGGTGAGGCCTTCAGTTATTTCTTTTAAATTTTTGCATTTTTTGCCTGGAAAATAAGTATATACCGTAATCTCTCTCATATTTGTAATTGCTTTTAATACTACGAATACTGGTAGTAGGTATTTATTTTGGAATATACTCTTTCACAGAGCAATAACAAGATTTTTATAACTTGATTTCTCAGTTTTGGGGTTCATTGCACCTATTTATTTGTAAATTGGTTAAAAGTAGAAATTAAGAAGAATAAGAATAAATTCATCTAATTTCCGCCCTCATCAGTTTAGCTTGTTGTAAAATAGAGCTGTAAATTTTAGTATGAATAGTGTGCTAAAGACCCAGCAGATTCTTCAAAATGCCTATGTCTAGAGGGTAATTTTGATATACTGTAGGTACTGCTTGAATGTCAACACTGTTGAATTGTTCACAGGCTGATGATGGTCATGGTTACGAGTCAGCTGAGAAATATGCTGAGATGCGGCAGGCATTTGAGCGCAACTGTAGCTTATACCGCTACTATACTCTGCCCGGCACTCACCATGTGCATCTCCTGCATCCTTCACCCATTGCAAGTTTCGTCAATGCTTTCTTTGAAGATCTTCTCAAAGTCGAGTGTGATGAAGTGAAGTGCATCAATGGTGCATCTTTAGAAACAAATTCCTGTGCATATTTAACCAATGATGCCAGTCAAGTAGTAAAAACTGTGTCTACTCCCAGCCAGAGCTCCGATGGCGATGAATGCTCCAAAGAAAAGAGTATTTGTGATGAGGATTAGGTTATTTTAGTACGTAGTAATTAAATAATTAATTCTATGATTTCAGTCTCTGAGAAAACATTGAGTCTTTGGCAAGAATGTAAGGATGATTAACAACTTTCTCTTCTGACTAGCCATTTACATATACTCTGGTTTAGGATTAAATGTTGGTGATCATGTATATTTTTCTGATGAATCTAATTCAAAGCAGATACTGCAATATGATATGTTATTTTGCCAGTTGGTGAATTTATTGAATAATTTAAACATGCGAATAAATTTAACACATGAACTTTATTACCATTTACATGTGAATGTCATGCTGATGATGGTGTTAAAGCCTTGTGTAAAGTTAATACCTACTTGAAGAAGTTAATTCCAAGCCTGGCCGAGACAACTTCCAAGTATTATTTTCAGGTAATTCACTGCATTGTTCTTTATTGAGACTTGCATTTCTAATCATCAGCCAAATTCTTGCTGCACTCTTCATCTTATATTTGTCAACGTTTATGGGTTTGTTTGTTTGTTTGTGAGCATGGCTGAAGCCTGGCAGTGGAAATATAGGAGGTGATGAGGCGTGACTCCATGATAATGATTGTTTAGAAATTGATTGTCAGAATAAAACACTAGAAGAAATCTTACTTAGGTAGATTCAAATTTCATTCTAAAATAATTTAGTGTTTAATTTGAATTTAGCATTACTTAAATGGAAGTTGTGTGCTAAGCATTGACATGGCTGGTCTTTCTTTAACTATGATACTTTAATTTCAAAATGTCATGCGTCATAATTTCCCGTACTAACTTGTGCTAAATTGAAGTACGTAAATAATTGTCCAAACTCGTTCTGGCTCTTCTCTGCGCCAGGAAATACCCTTTGATACTCGTATAATACTTTCTTGTAGACTATCAACTCCGTTCACTGCACGAGACTATGTTTTCTGCCGTGTGTATCAGTTTCTGCTATACCTGTGACTTCAAGTGACTTTTTGTTATTGTCTGCCGTGATGCTCTCGTGTCCGCAAGTTGGGTGTCAGCCACCAAGCACGCTATCATAGAGCACAACTGTGGTCAGGACTCCAGTCTTGTCCGTTATAATGGCTTGCTGCTGGTTATGCTGTACTGGACTGTATTGTATGCTATCCTCTGTCTAATGACTGTAGCACTCGTTACCAGAGGAATATAAATAGGTAGTATTGACGACGGTCCATGTATCACTAGACAAAGATTTTTTATAATTTTTAGCTCATTTTCTCATTTATGGAAAAAATGCCCTAGGTATTGTGCTCCTCATGTCATTAATTATATGGGTTGTGGTTATACGTACCTATTAAACCTATTGTGGTTGCTTATTTAGTTAAACTGCATTTTCTGTGATATAGACTCAGAATAATATGTTACTAGACTATTCTTATTATGTTCAATCGTGCTAAGATGCATTGTAGGGTTTTCTGCGTGCAACCTAATTTTCTGATATACCATATGAAGTTGCCTTTACTTATGGAGTAAAATTTAAGGATCGGAGATTAGCACCGTGATAAAAAATATTTATTTAAAGAGTGTTGCTCACGGTTGGATGGGCGAATTAAGATCTTATTCAAATATCTGAGCAAAATTGCATTGTGTCATATTTACTTGTACCGATGTTTACATTTATTTTTAATTTTTTACACAAGTTGGACGTAGCAAAAACATAGTTGGCATGTGTACTTTGGTTGGGAAATTTATTGCTTTAATCACGATGAGGTGCAATGTGTAAATTTTGGAAGAGGACCGAACTCTATTGCGTGTATGGTTAGGTTGTGTAGGCAAGGAACTTCTGGGGCTAGATTGTTGTGTGGGCAGTGCAGGTGTAGAGTCGAGTTATCTAGGCATGTTAGTTGCGATGTTGAACTGATGTCTACTCAGGATTGCCTGTGCTTGCACTCTTTGTTTCTTGTTCGGGCGGCCGACGTCTTGTGCAAGTTTCCTCCTGTACTCATTTCTGATACTGTTTGCCTACTTCTTCTTCGTATCTTTGATGTTATGCTAATTCCGCTGTACTAGTTTAGCCATTTCAGACCATCTATTTTTTTCATGAATAATAATTTATTCGTGGAATTATTGAGAAATTTGTCTCTTCCCTATTTGGGGATAGACGATTTTGGACTCCCAGTGCCATGTAGCTTGTTTTGAAACACTGAATTACAGGCACTTGTTGGTGACCACGGTTTTACTCTCGGGATTGCATGTGACTTGGGGAATAAAACTGCCTCACTTCCTCTTACTCACACTGAAATACTTCATGATTATTGTTGCCTGACAGTGAGTTTCCTGTCCACGATGACGATTTGGATCCATTCAAATGCATTTGCATTTTTTTAAGTTTTATTACATACAATTCTGCAATGATAATGGACTATAACTAGGCACAAATATTTCCTAGAAAATTTTCACGAGATGAGATATCACGTCAATCACGTGAGCCTAAAATTTTTTTGCCAACTCGAATTGTGCCACGAGCCTTTCTGACAACGGTTGTGTTAGAAATATGAAGTTATGAATTGGAAGTTTATCATAAGCTTTTCGTTGTTAGCAGCTATCCAGAACTCGCAGTCAGATGATGCTGGAAGTTCATACATTTAGAGTTGATATTTATTACATTACCTTTATTAAGTGTGACTCAAAGAACATTAACCATGCCAACAGACGTCTACTATAAATTTCCTACTATAAAGACCATCGTCTTCACAGTTGGCTGACGAATTTATTTTACATTGTTGAATAACAGGGCCCTGGTTTTCTTTGCAAATTAACGATTAGATGACACATTGTCTGTACTTTTGGTTGTTATAGACTTCTGTGATGGAGCTGGGTTTAGATTTAAATGCTGTTGTATTAAGGGTGAATGATGGGTAGGTGGTAAGACCGGGTAGTACATTCTAACCTATGTATTAAGTAAAGGATTTTCACTAACAAGCTTAAAATAGCTTACACTGACGATGTTCTACAAATGTTGTTGCTGGAATATTTTTGTATACGTTTTATTTTGCCCCCTGTGGTGATACTTAATAGTTAAAGTGGTGATGAGAATCGGCGACAGGCCATGGTCAAATCAAAACCGATTCCACTGTCTCTATGCTGCGTCATGGTTGTGATTTAGGGTGAAATGTGATCTAGTTCTTATTTGGAGAAGCTATAAGATTTTCTCGCAAGACATTAGTCACAATTGTGATTTATTAAGATTTATTTGAAGTTTTCAGAATTGGAGTTTGTTTTCATTTAATTCGAGTTAAGTCAATTTTGGGTTAGGCTTTTCTTAGCCATCAAGGAATAACATGCCACTTACGTCCCCTTGACTTCATAGCGTACAAAAAGTTGAAACGGTTACTACTGAAATTCGTGTTAAGTGAAAAAACTTTGAGGCAATGCTGTTCTTTTAGACGTTATATCAATCGCTTGCGAAATTTACTCTTAAAGTTGCTACTGCCTCAAGGATTCAGGTTGTGCGGTTCCTGCTGTTTGTAAGAATTTGATTTACGAGTCCCGGTGATGGAATTACATCCTTCAATGCTGCGTCACAGTTACACATTGAAATGTTACTCGCTGTTGTATTCACATACATCGCTTGCTTAAGAGGAGAATTCATCACCGGATGTACTATTCCTCTATTCTAACGCTTTAATCAAAACTTTGAGTATCATATCAGTGGGGAAATTCGCAACTATAATCTGTGGATTCTGAGTTAATTTCTTCTTGTACTGGAATATATGCAATTTACGTTGAGGAATATGTATAATGATTATAAATTTTACATTGTCGCCAGTAATGTAGAAATTGTAATTTGTGCTTAAAAAGTAATTATTTATCAAAGTTGGTCGGGTTCCGGACAGTTTTCTTCTCTACTTAAATATTTATTTTGTTGAGAAGTCTTATAAACTCTTCGTTGATTTTTTTACTTGAGCTCACAAAAGTGCGATGCACCAGTTGTGCCACATAGCTTCTTATATTCTTAACCCTTTACTGTGTAATGAATAATATATGTTTAAAAAATAACTTTAAAGACAACACTTCCAAAGAGGCCATTGTCTCCGATGAATGTATGTATATGAATGAATTTCTAATTTTATTTGTATATCTTAAAAATATTTTTCATTTTTTTAATATATAATTTTTTTTTAGTTTACAAAATTATTTATCCTGTCAATTGATTCAAGCATTGTCTCCGACTTAACGCAAGTGTGCAAAATTTCCGATCGATTGGACAATTAGAAGTGTGTTAAATATTGATTATAAAATTTTATAGCAGACGACAAGAAGTGAAGTTAAAGAAAAGTTTTGTATAATAATTATTGCTGCTGCTCCTTTAGTTATCCTGCAGGTGCAAACGGTGGGACCGAGTGTTCCGTTTGGTTGCAAGATAGGATTTTTTCAGTATCCTGAATCGTTCTTACAACTCCAATACAATTTCATCGTCGCAAATGCATATGACAGTCCCATGTAAGTTTATATATCATTAATTTTTCTGGACTGCTGATATATATATATAGTTTTAACTGCTGATTTTACTTATATTCTCTATTTATATTTTTTTACTTGATGATGGAGCTGGTCTCCGTGAAACGTTTTCACGAATATATATATGGTGAATTTTCACGGCGTTTTCTTTGCTTTGAAATTCATGCAAGTTTCGTCCTTACGGTCGTTCACAAGTTGCTAATGACCTTCGCCATTTCCTTCCCGTGCCTTCTTTTTAATGCCTAGAATTTTATGTTTAATTTTGTCATAAAAGCTCTCTATGTATTTGGGTTGAAGGAATAAACTATGTTTATTTTTAACTGTTCTTGATCATTATTCCCATGAACCTGAATTGTAGGATTGAAAGCATTGGGTACATTTTATTATTATTCTAAAAATGTTAATATCCAAGTTTTCGCGAATGAGACAGCGTCGAATAGCTCAGCATGCGTATAGATTTGTCATATCAACTCGATCGTTTAAAAAGTTTTAAGTTTAAAGAAAGTGTAAAATGAAAGTTTAATCCTTCAAAATTCTAGAAATCGCTTGATGTTGCATGAGAAAAGAATAGGAGTTTTTTTTTGATCGATTACAACGTTACAAATTTTTAAATTTCTTGACTGAATAACCTGGCGCAATCTGTATTTCCAAAATAAGTAATTGTATTCATTTTGATGATTTGGTGAGAGGATATTTTTTCTTTTTATTGATTGTCATTTGGGCGAGATTTGCCTTTATTTTCACACATTACAGCACTAACATAGCCTTCGAAATGTCGACATTAGTTAGATGCGGTCCAAGTTTCACGCAATTTATTAGGTGGCATGTGCGGAAAAGTGGAACCATTTACTGCACGCTAGTCGTTAGAATAGTTTCTAAGCGGTTTTGTTAGGAACGAACATACATTAATTCATGGTAAAATGACGTTATCAATGTGAAAAAGAAGGGGGAATAACCGATTAACACTCATTGCATGTAGGTCATAATTATCCCTTACCTGATCTAGAGGCGGCTACTAACGCTGATTGGTTGAGGGTTAAAGTACGGAAGAATTGACATACAAACAAGACAAGAAGGCTCGATAGCAGACATGTGATAATGAGTGGCACCCGATAAACGTTTCAGCATTATGTTACTAAACGTTAGGCATTACGTAACTGAATATGGAATAAAGTTTTGAATATTCCGTTCGAAAACCTACGCTGATCTGTCGCTCGTGAAGAGACGCTGATCAACT